CTGATTGCCTTTAATCATCCCCCGATGAATTCTTCATAACTAGCTGGTGCTGGTCACATTTGGAAGATGCTTAGATTATACCATTATAGAGCTTTTTCACATGGCGTCACATATCATTAATCGTAGTCCGTAGTCCGTATTTTATACCCAGTCCATAGTCTGCGTTTTACACCCAGTCCGTGTTTTATACCTAGTCCGGCCGTATTTTTATACCCAGTCCGCAGTCCATGTTTTACACTGACCGCCCAACAAATAGGATTCGCGCTGTTTCGTACAGTTTACCACTCTTATTTCAACTTCTCTGGTTTGTCTTAGGTTGGCGATTTTTTGAGGAGTTGAATTCTGAAACACTATATATCTAATTTTTTGTATAGGTAATAGCATGATTTGTAGTGATATTTGGCATAAATACCACGAGTGATATTTCAAAATTGTTGTACGTAATTTCACGAGCCGTTAGGCGAGTGAAATTTGAGACAATTTTGAAATATCACGAGTGGTATTTATGCCAAATATCACGTTCAAATCATGCTATTACCTATACAAAAAATTAGATATATACATGTAGGTATTTCAAATTAAGCTGAAATACCACTGCTCTAAGCCAATCAAATTGCAGAAATTTCTCATGTAGTAGTATAACACCTGAAAGACAAAGAACTGGAGAAAATCCGTGTCTCGTGTTCCCGTCTTCCATAAAACGTGAAATCAAAACGTTTCACGTCATAGACGTGTAACGACGGCTTGAAGCGTGATGCACGTGCAGAGTTGTTGTTTTGCCAATTTAAACCTATTGTTTTTTGCCGTCCTCGTTGCCGTCCTCGTTGCTGAAGCTCCCAAGCTAGGGCTAAATAAAACTGCGGCGGGCAGGATTAATCTGGGTTGGAGAGTATGCTGCAAGAAAGTTGCAAATTTGGGCCTAAACTCAGGTTATGCTTTTAAGCTTTTGTCGCAGATTAGATGGTCCCGGAGGTAGTCCCAGGCTTCTAGGCACGTGGTCTGAGCGGGGGAGTAGGTGCGGGCTTACATGCACAGCGGCTGGTGAAAGCCATGCGCATTGATTAAATTTGAAGTAGGCGGAAATTCTTGAAATTTCGACGCCACGCAGTTCCAATAATCCTGGCAATCATGGGTTGAATTTATTTTCTTATCAAGCGTTTTCTTATGTAGCCTAAACGAAAAGAAATAAGGATTGGGACCACTCAGCTGCTTCAACATTGTCTTTTCGATTCCTTTTAAAGTGTAAGCCAGTGCTGAGGTAAGCCAACATTTCCGTACACTCTTAGCTAAACTTACATATAAGCTTAAGCGTACATACATAAAACGATTTTTCAGAAGATTCTCCCTTTTGTAATGAAAAGATTCGTGTTGGATATTGTTAACGGAATTTTCTTGGAGGAAATCATTTTCTTTATCACATACATGTATATAGTGTGTAGCGATGTCTCGACGACCGTAAAATTCCAAAACTGATAAGCGCCAAGGAATTAAGGTATTAGAACTGCTATAAAGTTAAAAAATGATCATGCTTATCTGGATGAAATCGCTTATTTGAAATGTACTCTTAACCTGAACTCAAATTCCGAAAATGAAGCATTTTCGTTAAATATAAGCCGAGAAAACGAAGGCCAAAGTTGGTATCTAGGAGCGCTTTTTTGGAAATATTTATAATCACAGGCCTGAAATCCGACGCGATACTTTCCGTTGTTGACAGAAATGTTGCAATTTTCACAACCCGACACGCGATAACGCGTTATGAGTTTCAAGTAAGCCAGGACAAATTATAGCAAAATTCACTTACATTCTGCTTCCCCAAATTAAGTACGATTGTTTTGATATTTCTAACTCATTTCTATGGCTGTAAAAAGCCTTCCAGAGACACATCAGATATATGATCCTTGCAAGATCAATGACAAATTAAGGCCGTAGTTAAATGACCTATTATGCAAATTAGCACGCTGCTAAGGCTAAAACATTAGGGCCATTTATACGAGGAAAAATAAGACGCATCTTCTCTTAAATAAGACGCGAACTTTCCGAATAAACAGCACATTTCGCCTTAAATAAGACGCGACTTAGCTAAGACACGTCTTATTTTAGAATTAACACCTGTTCTAAGATAAGACGCGTCTTAGCTAAGACGAGAAAAATCACGTCTTACATAAGACGCGAACGCATAGTACGCATGCATTAACTTTTGGTGGGAAAATTATTGCTTACCCCGCGGTGTACTGGCAGGCCACTGGCGGGGAAAAATTGTTTACAAATTACAATGTGTTTTCGTTTTCTTGCCTATTCTGCTTTAGCTTTATTTTTTTCTTCACTCAAATACAATGAGCACGCCGTTAAAGGTAAAAAGAAACACTTGGTCCATCGCAGAGGAAAAAGATTTTTTGTTATTATGTAAGAAGGCGATAACAGACCTCCTGGACAAATGCGTGTCATCCGCTGGTGTAAGTGGACCCTTTTAACTTTAAACTATATATAGCAATTTATATTTACTAATCAAATTGCTATCTTCGTATTATAAACTTACACTTTAAAAGTAAGTTTAAGTATACAGAAGACTTAGATAAGACATGCTTGTATAAATGGTCCAGTCCGCGTCTTATTTTTCCTCGTATAAATGGCCCTATTGTTTATGATGCCATTTTGAGAACACGTCATGCAACGAGTTCTAATGAAAATTTTCGTATTTTCTCGCCACTTTCCGTGCTACAATCGAACTAACTAAGTATAAGTCAGTTCGAGTTGTTTTTTTATTCGTAGCTATCGAGAGAAAGCCAGAAATACGGAATTATTGAATTTTGAACCCGCAATATAAATCGGAAATAACACCTTAGGTGGACTTAGGTGTAAAAATTGACACCTCGGATTTCAATTTTCTGAAAGCTCAGCTCTCGCTTGATAGGCCTGTGTAATTTTTATTTTGCAAAATTTTTAATCATATGAGAAATAAATTTTTTCAAATGGAAGGATTTATAGCAGATCTAATACTCAAGTTTACTTTTTTTAGTGCATGCCATGGTTCTGCACATAAAAGTAATATCCATACCCCCACCATGGAGGGAGTGTCACTTAGGATTCCCCTACTTCCCTAGATTTTTCATTTTTATTGGTCCACAAGTGCGACATTTTAAGACCCACCCAACTCCTTTGGAAAAGTGCATTTTCATGAAGAATGATTATCACAGTAAAGAGCAAGGTCATTTGGTGTTATGCAACAGTTTTCATTTATTGAGTGACCTTGCAACATATGGCTAGATTGCACTGCTCTCTCAGTCCTTCCCAAGAAGAGACGGCTGGACATATGAGTGGCTGATTGTGTCTATGATGTAAATGGGATTGAACACAGTTTGTTTTGTCTCTTTGTCTCTTTGGTATTTGCTGATGTCTGTGATGTAAATGGGATTGAACACGGTTTGTTTTGTCTCTTTGTCACTTTGGCATTTGCTGAAACAATCAGCAGAAAGAGGTACACGCACTGATTTGAGGTATATTCATTGATCTTGTATTAGCAAAGTTTGGAGTGGAGTTTATTACAACAGGAATTGACTTGAAAATGACCTCTTTCACATAAGCTGCCAACAACCATTGTTGCAGACTGGAAAATAATTAATGACCCAGACTGGTTGGTTGAGTTACAAACACATCCTTACCATCACCAGTGCTTCTCTAAATGTTTTCTTTGTAAACATTTTGGGATTTTTTATGCTTAAAACGCTTTTAAACACAATATTTGCATGCCACATAAAACAACCTACTCATACATTGTTGTATCAACTGTTTGAAATCGAGCTGCCCCAGAAAAACAAATTTATGCTGTTGGCTCAATTTAATTTTAGCAGGCAGCGATCTAATTGGTGGAAATCAACACTATCAAACCCATGCATCCAGCCCTCTTTTTGGGGAAAGAACACGGGCTCATTTCCTGGAAATCAGTCTAAAGTATTGCAACATAAGAGCTCATTATATAACCTATAAAGTACCCTAAACTGCAAAACCCTTTAATGAAACAGATAAAGTTGTGTTTGTCAATTTACCTCAATGTGCAATCTTACGATTTGTTCTTTATCTTCATGAGCATAGTGTAAAGGGAATCAGTGCCAGTGATGCCATTTCAGCAAGAACATACTGTAAACATGTCAAACTTTCAACCACAAAAATAAAATTGAGGGAAAACATAAGGGCAGAATAAAAACTCAAGATAGTTTCTCTGAATCAGTGTTTTTGTATACCCTCTGCTTCTTAAGTTAAATTTTCCCTATTCTGTTTTTTGCTTGACTGACGTGAGGTGATGTGATGCAATAACGTTCTGATGTCATTCAGTAAGTGGCAAGTTACATGTATAATGTCTGTCACATCCACATGCGTACAAAAAATATAAATTGAGTTCTAATTAGGCTAATTCCTGCAAAATCGCATCCAAAATGCTTTTTGAAGAAAGTGGATCCAATTAGTTTCACATGAGAAGTCTGCGTCTAAGTGCAGTTTTTTAAAGATAGTCGTTTTGAGGCTTACCTTGCGATATAGGATCGAAATGGACCAATCATCAATTTGGATGCGTCCCCCCCAGCCTCACACCCACAGTCCATGATATAGCTAAATATGTACTGTGTCAGTTTAGCATTTTAGTAATTTTTTTTTAGGATCCAAGATGTCAAAATCTTCCCAAGATACAACTAGCTCATCAAAGGGCAGTGATGGGCAGTGATTCTTCCAAACCCAATGCTACAAGCGATGAAAAGAACCACTCTGGGGACTCCCCTGATCAGAGGGCATCAGAGGATAGTGATACACTCCAACTTCCCACCGGTCTCCATTCTTCATCCAAGAATTCTTCAAGTGATGCAAGGTACCATGTTGGGGACTCTCCTTATCAGATGGCATCAGAGGGCAATGATGATGATACACCCCAGCTCACCTGCACTGGTCTCCATTCTTCATCCAAGAATTCTTCAAGCATTGAAAGAAACCACTCTGGGGACTCCCCTGATCAGATGGCATCAGAGGACAGTGATACACCCCAACTTCCCACCGGTCTCCATTCTTCATCCAAGAATTCTTCAAGTGATGCAAGGTACCATGTTGGGGACTCTCCTTATCAGACAGCATCAGAGGGCAGTGATGATGATACACCCCAGCTTACCTGCACTGGTCTCCATTCTTTATCCAAGAATTCTTCAAGCATTGAAAGAAACCACTTAGGGGACTCTCCTGATCAGAGAGCATCAGAGTGCAGTGATGGTGATACACCCCAGCTTACGACTGGTCTCCATTCTTCATCCAAGGATTCTTTAAGTGATGCAAGGAACCATGTTGGGGACCCCCCTGAGCTTAATAACGTTCTTCTCTCCTTCGCTGATATTAAGGCAATAACCAAACCTTCAAAAGGTGCTGATCTGCCTGTTGATATTCTGTTACTTACAGTTACAAACTGTGAGTTCCTAGCTTGCTACAGTGAGCTTAAAAACCCCTATAGATGTTGGTTTGATGGTCTTGGATATGTTTACTTTTCTCATGTGAGTGAAAGTCAAGAGCAGTTGAAAGTTGCTTTACTAAGATGTTACAGAAATGGCATTGGTCCTGGTGGTGCTCTTGTATCTGTTAAGAATGCTGTCTCTGTGCTAAGACCCAAAGCAGTCATTTCAGTAGGAACATGTAGTGGCCTCAACCCTGCAAAGTCCAGGTTAGGAGATGTTGTTGTGTCTGCCAAATTAGCAACATATGCATCAAAGGTACTGACCAGCAATCAAGAGCAGTCAACTGGTTTGAGAAGTTATGTGAGCAAATCCTTTCTAAATGTCATTAAGAATTGTGCTGATGGCTGGCAAGCACCTTTGAAGGACTTAGCTGAAGCTCAACAAGTTCAAGTTTATACTGATGCTGAGGTTCTGAGTGGACCGGAACAAGTCAGAGCTGAGTGGCGGCGTGATCAGCTTGCTAAAACCAATCCTCAGGCTATGGCAATCGAAAATGAAGGAGAAGGTGAGTTCATTTTTTATGCAGCCAGTGTTAGGAAGTGTGTGCAGTCAGGTCTCTTTGAACTCTGTAGATGTGTTGGCTGCTTTTGATTCAGTGTTAATTTCAAGGTGTTGTTCAATTGTTTGCTTGCTTCAAAATAAATTATATTTGCTGAAAAGATGGGCCTGCTCGCGATGTATAGTCTTCAATGCTCTGTTGGTAGAGTACTGTCATGTTAAAATCTCCTTGAATTCCCCCCTCCCCCCACTATTTATTTATTTTCAGGTTAATTTGCAATTGCTTTGATTGCTAGTATTACAATACAACAATCTTATCTGCGAATTAAACGCATTGACAATAGATAGGCTTGTGGAAGATGCCTGGTGAAACTGAAAAGAGCTGCGAGCCAGCCTGGAAGGTAACCATGACAACCCCGTAAGCAGCACTCTTCAGGCACAGTCACACTGAGACCTATCAGTTGAGAAATGTGCACTAGACACGTAACAAATAAAAACATCCAAAGGGAAGGGAGGGATGGGAGCAAAAACAGTTAAAGCTACTGCATGTGAAAGCAACATGAGCGAATGATTGACTTCAGACCACCCCAAATACAATTAATGGTGGAGACCACTAGCTGGCAAGCATTGTCGGTTTAATCTCACCTAAATTACATTAAGCCACATTTATGCCCATTGACAATAGTTGGGTGTGGGGAAGGTGCATGCTGAAACCTCAAAGGCACTGCAAGTGAGCCTGGAAGGTAATGATGACAACCCTGTGAGTGGCACCCACCCAAACCAGTCTACAGGTGCTTGAAGAAAAAAAAGGGGACAGCGAACAGGAAGTCACAGGACCTGGTTCCCCCAAGGGCATTAGGCACCAACCCCAAACTCCCTCGCAATAAAAACTGGAAAAAAAAAAAACAACTCACCACTGAAGAATGGAGGCCGTAATAGTGAACAGGAGAGGAAAGAAGATGGCAAACCTTGTGTGACAAAAAAGTGTGACAATAATTTTGTTTGAAATAACTTTTTGCCAAACTTCACTTTCCTTTAAACAGATCTTTTGTAAAAGACCAGAAAACATTAAGTGAAGGTCTCGACAAAACATGAAAGTTATAGCCCTGTGACATTTGTCACACACAAGTGTTTTGCTGTCCTCTTCTTCCTGCTGTCTTTTGTGTAAACTCACTAAAACATGCCTGAAGCATGTCCGCGAGAGCAAAGCCGTGAGCTGTCCATAACCTCAATCCAAACTGACACTACTGGGAAGGAGGCAGTACAGTTCACATCCTCTACATTGTTCGTCTATCTTCCAACTCCAATTAGCTTCGTTTTTTTTCCTTTTTTATAGGAAGTTAGGCAAAATAATGTAAGCTATATTGATGTAGGACCGTCTTCAACTTTAACTCAAGTGTCATTTTCTTTGTTGTTGTATAGGAGTGTTTACAGCAGCATTTGACTGTCAAATTGAGTGGTTAATTGTGAAAGGGATAGCTGATTATGCAGATGGTTCTCAGTTGCCTTCAGAGAGTTGGTCTTCCTGTGCCAGTGTGATGGCAGCATCTCTTGTTGCACACATTTTGAGTGAGCCCTGTGTTTTTTATTCATGGCCTCATTACCAAGGTAAATATTTCTCATAATGTTATGTCCCTTTTTGGCATGTTGTTTTATGGAAACTAGGGGTGCGTTACAGTGTACTTCCTTGATGCTGTCATGAGCTCATCACTGCATTATGGATAGGTGCCACACATGACATCTTTTTCTGTTTAAAATAGCTTTTTAATTAGATTTGATTATTATTGGTGTAGATTATTGTTAGGTTTCTTTAAGGAACGTACAATTCAACCTGTAAGAACATTGATGAGAAGAGACCTCTTGTCATTTTAAACCAAAAAGAGATTAAAGTACAGTCATGTGACTGAACCCAAAAAGTTGTGGATTTTGTTGTGAAATAGGGTATAGATTAGAAGAACCTTTTCAGGTTGAACAACCGCCACCAAGTGTTCTTAGCTGATGAGTCAGTTTTTTTTCCAGCAGTTGTATTGAGCTGACCACAAAGCTACATGTGTATATTTCTTTTTTTAAGTGTTAAAACTACACTTGTCTTGATATGCACTTCTAGTGACATTATTAGTAGCAGTTATTGCTAGTAGATTTCTTGAATGTAAGTGAGAAATGTCTTTTCGTTGAAGATATACCTGAGCAGAGCTCAGCCAGCGGATCAAAGGATCAGTTACCAAGTCCCTCAGGTACCAATTTATGGCTCCATTCTACACGAATCCAGATACTTTTTGAAATCACATATTCTTTTTTACATGAATTAAGGCCACGAATGAATGAGCGGATTCACTGGTTTAGTGTTGAGGGGAGGCTGTTTTGCGATAAAGAAAATGTGCAGTTTCAGAAATATCCGGATTCATGTGGACGGGGCCTTAATGTTTAATGCTACATTGTACATGTAAGCAATCCAACATGTTACGGGTTCAAGATACATTTTCCGTTCATTTTCCCTTCTTCTTGTTTTTTTCTCTTGTTTTTTGTTTTCTTGTTTCTTTCTCTTTTTTTTCTTGTCTTTGGTTTTAGGTTTTTTGTTTGTTTGTTTGTTTTTTTTTTATCATGGTAAATGTTTTTGGAACTCTCATATCAGGGTTGTTGTGTATATTAGCTAATAATTGGCAAAATTTTCTGGTCCTTAAGGGGGGGGATAATTCGAAAGGGGGCACTTATGTGAAGGAGTGTGCTAATTCGAACGTTTCTGGTACATGAGTTCCATTTACAGTCAAAGCAGGTCAAGCGTACCCCCCCAAGATTGTATTTACCAGAGTAATGAACTGATTATTTGAAAAATGAATCCGTTAGTCGTTCCCGTAACTAGCGTCAAATTCAACTCGGCATCAATGGGCATTATTGCATGCGTAATGAGCAATGAATATTTTACTAAAACTTTAATGTCTTTGGTCAGATTGAACATCTTTGAATTTGCTTCGAAGACATTTATATCAATTCAGGGAAACTGAGCTGCTAGAGATTTCATAACTAGCCTGCGTAAACATCCCTTTCTCCTCGCTCTTCGCCGCTGGGGACGTTTCGCGCGGAGGAACGTCTGCGACTCAGCGGCAGAAATTCCATACTGATGACGCAAATCAATGTTTACATAACAAATCGAGTAGTATATAAAAATAAATTTGTCCAATTTTAGGTGTCTTCTGGTCTATTTTGGTAAAATGTTGTGTTCATCGGCCAACGAGCTTCAGCGAAACTCAAATGCTTCTTCTAGAGAAGACTATATTCCACAAATGTTGACTGTTTTGTTAGAGATTCTTCGCGTTTACATTTGACCTTGTGGCCTTTTGTCTCTTGTCTGTCATTCGTAAACAATAGCTAAAACAATGTAACTACTCCGTCGACCAATCAGCTCTTCTGACCGGATTCCGGACAGATTTTACGTCATCATTATCGAATTTCTGCCGTTTAGTCGCAGACGTTCCCACGCGCGAAACGTCCCCAGCGGCGAAGAGCGAGGAGAAACGGATGTTTTCGCAGGCTATTTCATAACTGCCTCGCGTGTGAATTCACGGCTCATTATGCATGCAAGAATACCGAGATTAATCTAAACAACTACTACCAACCACCAACTACCAACAACTACCAGCTACCAACTACCAACTAACAACTACCAACAACTTTCCAATAATGAATTCATTAACGGAATCTTAGGGGGTACGCTTGACCTGGCTTGACTGTAATCAAAAAAGACCCTCTTTCCTCTCCTCTGTTAAGTTCACTTGTCTAATTAGCTACTATTTGCACTCTGTTACTTAGCTTATTTGTTAAATGGATAAAGTTTCCCCATCCTTAGTCTGAGCAACGGATTTACAGTACAAAATAACAACCACAACACAGCTTCTAAAGCCAGATGTAACGTCAATGAGCGAGTTAAAATCATCATGACATTTTGATTTTTCATTACTACGTTGGAAGGGGAGGCCAGTACAAATCTAGTCAGCCTCGCAACAGAAGGTTGTTTAGAAAACCGCTGGTGTAAAACTTGGTAATAAGCTTAACGCAGGTAGAATCATGCTTCTTGCTCTAGTGTCGCCCTGATAAGGCCCGGTCTTCAATTCTTGAGAGAAAATGTCCACGCTTAGATAAAAGTGACCGTACTGGGACGTAAACTGCCATTATCATTGCTACCACAAAACTTGTACAATTAACTTCCTATTGCTTAATGCGTTTTAGAGGATTTAAGTTTAAAGAGTTTTACTTTTTTTATAAACAGATCCTGTAACTGCTTTTTTGGAGTGGAGTCAAAATCAGCTGTGCTCATTTTACAACAGTACCGCGAGCCAGTTAATGGTTACTCCTTGGGACCGAGATAATACCATGGACATTGATGAGGTGTATGTACAGTTAACACTGCTAAGAGATGACAGAAAACTTGCTGGAACAACAAAAGAGAAGCTTGAAGATTTCAGCGAGTTATTCACAAGCCATGGTCATCACCTAATTCCTAAGAGAATTTTAGTGTATGGGAGGCCAGGAATAGGAAAGTCGACATTCGCAAAGAAACTTGCCGTTGACTGGTCTCGCGGCAACAAAGAAATCCTAAAGAAGTTTGCTGTTGTACTTTTAATCAAGCTCCGAGATGTTTGCAACACGCAAGACCTCTGTGCCATGCTACAAAAGGCGGAGCTGTTGTCCGCAGGTGACCCTATGGTGTTTAGCCAATTGTATGATTACATTCTTCGTAACCAAGAGGAAGTCCTACTTATTTTAGACGGCTATGATGAATATAGCGCCGAAAAATCATCACCAGTTCATCTTATTTGGAAAGGCAGCCAGTTGAGAGATTGTACTCTTCTTCTAACGACACGACCGCGGAAGAAAGATGAGTTAAGACCAGGAAGTCATGCTCAGTTTGAAATTAATGGGTTTGATCAGTGGCAAGTTAAAACATTTGCTCTTAAGTTCCTTCGTGACCAAACAAAAGTAGACGAGTTCGGACATTTTTTATATGAACGCGACCTGTGGGACTTAGCGGAAATACCACTTCTTCTGTTAATGTTAATTCTAAGCTGGGACGTTAATGATTATCAAGGACCATCAGCATCTCGCGCCCTTCTGTATAACAACTTTTGTCAGACGCTGCTTGATCACGTTACCGCCAAAACCTCAGACGAGACATTTAGAAGCATGGATGAATACAAAGAAGACCTCGCAAAGTTGGGGGAACTTGCCTGGGACGCACTCTTAAACAATTGTCTGTACTTCAAGCTCAGCAAGCTGCCTGAGGACATTCGGTCACTCATCGAGAAATTTATCGATTTTGGCTTTCTTCAAACATCTAATCCCTCAAGTTCTCCTCGTCCTGAGAGACTGGCGTTCTTTCTTCATAAATCGGTGCAAGAATTTCTCTCCGCCTTGTTTTTAGTTCGTGACTTAAAAAATGCAAGGGAACCATTCAACTGTCTGTCTAAAGTCGACTCAGCTCAACGATTCAGGGAGCTATTTGAAGTTTTTAAATTTGTGTCTGAGTTGTCATCAGAAGCTACCGTTGCTGTTTTTCTCCATCTGAAGATGATAGGAGAAAAAGAAGGTCTGACAGATTACAACTTCGGTGAAAACCCTTCTGTTGAGGAGCTCACAAAAGGACAAAGAAGGTTTAATCGTACTTGTCTTGATTTTTTCGCTTCCTGCCCTGCCTCAGACAGACAAGCTGTCTATCCTTCTTTTCTACAGTGCGTTAATTTTGTAATCGTGATAGATTTTGACATTCCCTCTCTTTTGACTTCTGCAGTTGCTGGAGAACATTGTTTGAGATCATCAAGTGTCCATAAGCCAGATTATGTATTTTTTAAAGCAATCTTTGAACCTGATGTGGAAGAATACAAGCGTGATCAAATGTTCTCTATCTTGTCCGATTTGGACACTGTTGTTATGACGTGTTATGGTGATACAAAATCTGTAGATAAGTACCGCCAACTAATAGCTGACCCCTTTTTCGTAAAGAAAGTTGGACAGCGATCAGTGTTATGTTTGACTCTACTTCAGATATGGGAACACACTGATGGTCCGAAATGCGATGAACTGCTTATATCATTAATATCAGCACCAAATTCTTCTGAGCCTGATCACGTGTCAGAGAATCATGATGTTTGCAGCTCTGTCAATTTAACTGAAAAGTCTGACCAGACTCTGACACACTCTCTGTCATTTTTGAGAAAGATTTACATTTATGGCCTAAAAAATGAACTTCTCAGTTTCCTGAATAATCTTCACCATTTTCCTCGACTATCCGAACTCAATTTACTTCATGTTGGTATGGAGAATCAAGAGTGTCAGTTACTTGCCACTGCTTTAAAATATGTTGATAAGTTACGCCTACTGAGTTTATCGTACAACCCACTTGGTCACGGGATAAGTGAGCTTGCCAAACACCTGCAGTGTGTACCTCATTTGGAAAAGCTGTACCTGAGGGATACACAGATGGGTGAAGAGGAAGTTATAGCGTTAGCCCATAGTTTAAAGAATGTGACTCAGCTGAGTGAACTTGACTTATCAAATAACCCACTTGGTCATGGGATAAGTGAGCTTGCCAAACACCTGCACAGTGTACCTCATCTCCAAAATTTGATGCTTTGTGGTACAGAAATGGGTGAAGAGGAAGTCACAACTTTAGCCAATAGTTTACAGAATGTTGCTCAGCTTAGTAGACTTGACTTATCAAATAACCCTCTTGGTCACGGGATAAGTGAGCTTGCCAAAGGTTTCCCCACCGTATCTCATCTCCAAAATGTGATACTGTGTGGCACAAAAATGAGTGAAGAGGAAGTCACAACTTTAGCTAATAGTTTACAGAATGTGGCTCAGCTGAGTAGACTTGACTTATCAAATAACCCTCTTGGTCACGGGATAAGTGAGCTTGCCAAACACCTACACAGTGTACCTTATCTGAAAGAGCTGCACCTGAATAATACACAGATGGGTGAAGAGGAAGTTACAGCTTTAGCCCATAGTTTAAAGAATGTGACTCAGCTGAGTATACTTCACTTATCAAACAACCCACTCGATCACGGGATAAGTGAGCTTGCCAAACACCTGCACAGTGTACCTCATCTGGAATGGCTGTGGCTGATTGATACACAGATGGGTGAAGCGGAAGTTACAGCTTTAGCCCGTGCACTCGTGTACCTTCCAGTACTGCAATACCTTCAACTTAACCAAAATCCACTGGGCCGTGGAGTAAGTGAACTGATCAAGTGTCTCAGAAGTAGACCTCAGTTTAGTGGTCTCTGTCTCTGTGAGGTTCAACTGACAAAGAGAGAAGCCACTGAGCTGTGCACTTTAGCAAATGAAGCGAAAATGCTCTTGGAGTCAGATTATCATGTAAGTTTCTCTTTTTTTAATTTCCATTGTTAATGCTCGTAATACCCAGGAATTTCCTGGTAGACGTAAGGCTGCAGGCAAACGGACGGAACATGGTTGGCCAACAACTCCCAACATTGTTGGATGTTACATGTTGCGTCTGTTTGCACACCCTGTTGCATGTTGTTGGATGTTGTTGCGTGTTGTTGCGCAAAGTTTGAAACTGGTCAAACTCTTCAGCCAGCAACTCCCAACATTTCTTTTGTTCGGTGATCGCCGAAACGTAGCGCAACAATGTTGGATCCGTTTGCACAGCTCTTTCAACATTGTTGGGGCCACGCACTCTCATGCATGGTTTACAAAGACTTATGGGTTGTATCCTTCCCACGATGCACTGCAGGTTCCAACCTTATTGGGAGTTGTTGCATCCGTTTGCACACCACTGCCAACACGCACTCAACAACTCCCAACATTGTTGGCGCAACAATGTTGGGAGTTCTTGCGTCCGTTTGCACGCAGCCTAAAGGAACAACTGCTATATTAGTGCACTGAAATTGTAGTGATAAGTGCCTGTGCTGGCTTTGATAGATGGCCAAGGTGGAAGTGGATTGCACTTTGAAAAGTTTTGACTTCATTTTCGATTTCCTTGCCGTTTCCTTAAAATGCGAACTTAAAAACAATAAATGCGGTGTCTTTTCGGGTATAGAATACTATTAAAATCTTGCTCTTGTGACATTACGGTTAAGCATGGTCTTTGACGTTAAATCTGGGGATGACGCGTAGCGATGCGTTGAATAAATATGACAGTAAACGGCAGGCAGTTCTGATAACTGGCGTACGGTCGTGGGAAGAGCAAGGAGAGCAATCATTTGGCTGCGGTGCAAATTTAACTGAAAAATATGCCAGAGTTACAGGATCGTTGCAATCACTGGGGAAAACTAATTTTACATATGTTTTTTTTCCTTGTAGTTAAATCAACCTTGTATTTGCCATATGGAAAGTAAAGCTGCTAGTAAAGGAGCTAAAAGCATTTTTAAGAATTACTCTAGATTCTTACACTTCATTTAACTTATTTCGTGAGATCAAATTTTGTTTACGCTGAGTTCATTCACAATGGCGGAAAGGTTTTATAATTTCTAAACAGCTTTTTTCAGCTTGCTATAAAGCAATACGTTTGCTGAGAGGTTCTTTTTCATCTATTTTGATATTACTGGGGTAAAGAAAATCGTTCGTCATACGGAGGACTTTGTTATATAGAGGTTCGTTATATCGAGGTTCCACTGTACTTCCGTGCAAAAAACACTCGCACTAAAGTTAATTAGGGTAATGGAATACGGCGGACTGGCGAAGCGTTCGATTCTTTCATCGCATTCGCTTCTTTGCACAAAGAACCTCTACTTTTTTCCGACCAGTGGCAGCTTCTCAAAAAAAACGTAACCTGCGATCAGGCGAGCCTTCTTCCCTTTTGTTTTGGAGGCGAAAGGAAAAGAACTTTCCCCAAAAAAGAAAACGCCTGATCGCAGGTTAGACAAAACGAGTAATTTCTCTGTTTACATAGTTTTCCTTTTAGAAGGGCGATTACACGTGCGCGTTTCGTTAAAGTAATAACGTTTTCAATCACTCTGAGGTTGGTAGGGAATTAGAGACACACCATTGTTTTCACAAAACAATCATGGCTACTATTTTCACGATCACTAACGAACGAGCTCGACGTTATTTTTAATCCGTAGCTGTTTGTCTTCTTTATTAGACCGAGGTTGATCGTGATTATTTGCCTCCTTACTATCGCCTTTTTCCTGAGGCAGAACTACAAGAAAAGGGAGTCACTTTTGATGAAGAGTGAAATATGGTACGCTGCAGGAAGAGGAGACCTGGGCACTAAACGAATCACTAACACCTGTGCGACCATCATTTAGGTATAACTGTATTTGAAATATCCCTTTAAAATCCCTCTAAGTTTAGTATCCCCGCATTTTGGGTATCCCCCTAATTTAAGTATCCTCACATTTTGGATACCCCTTAATATCCCCGTATTTTGGTCGTTTCCCTGATTTAAGTATTCCCCACCTCCCCCCCCGCCCTATTTTGAACCCTTGCGCTCAAATCCCTGGTGATGTGGGTGAAAACACTGATCCTATCAAGGTCGTTTCACAACCACTGAAACCGGCCCTACAACTGACTATTTTATAATGTTCTAGTTATTTCAGTTCCTTGGGTAGTCCTTAAAAATAGCGGAATTGAATTCGGTAGTTTTTATTTCGCAACGGTAGACCACCAGCGCACTAAAACATTATCAAGACATAGCAAGACTGGAAGTCGTGTTTTAAAAGGAACTGGCCACTACAATTGTCGGTGATCACATAAACAAAAACCACCAGCTGTGAAAACTTTCCTCTTATACATGCAGAATTTTTATGTGTGCATACAGTTTCTTTTTGTGTGCAAACTAATCACATAAGGCACCCTGTAAACAATCACACGAGGCTATTTTATTTGCCAGAATTCCTGTCCAAGGTACAAAATGTACGAGTAGAGGGGGGGGGGGGGGGGCACTGGATTGCAGGGATCACGCTTGCTACCCAGGGTACGCTAGGAAGGATAGTACCTCGAAACATCAACCCCTAAATCACAAGGGATGTTAGTATCCCGGTAGGGTACTAGGGGATACCCGTAACACTGACCTGAAATAATGGAAAAACCACATCACGAGGGATTTGTTTACAGAGGTACCCAAACCACGGGGATACCCAAAATGACGTTGGATTAGATCAAGAGATTTTTGTACTTCTTAGCGTACACACTGCTTGCGATGCGTAACCAACATGAGTAAAACCTGGGCCGAGTTGTTCAGAGCTGGGTTGAGATAACCCAAGGTTAGTGTTAGATTTGAATTCAGATTTGAAAGCTTAAAAAGCAGTTCAGTCTTGATTCTTTTGGTCTACAAGTTGATGATTGGAAGCTCTAAAAAGAACAGAGAAAATTATCCGAGAAAATGCTTTTGAACACAAGAAACATACACCCGGGTTAAGCGCTAATCGGCCTTCGAACAACCGGGCCCTCAGGAGTCCATCACTCGTGTGAGGCCTGGGTTTCAGTGTGTTAGATGTTCAGGATTTTTCGTATAATGAGAGCAGGGTAGAATTTCTAGTAATGGCGCACAAGATCAACGAATTTTCAGCCGAAGAGGGTTTACTTTGTTCACTTGTTTGAAGGACCAATGAGGCTTCGTCAACAACTCCCGTCCTAGATCGGGCAATCGTTTTTGAACAAAGTGAATTCCGAGAAAAAGAAATCTAAAAATAAGCGAAACGCCTAAGTAACGCGCTCTGACGGTTACTGAATATCAGCCGGGCGGGGTGGGGGGAGGGGTTGACTTGCATATAAGAGGGACGGGAATGCTCGTCGAAAAATTAGAATTTAAGCGCTAAAGGAGACTGTACTTTAACAAAGTATGGTGGTGTCTGGCTTTTTTTATTAAGATATTCCTTTACGCACAGCCCTAAGAGAATGAACACATCTTGTCTTAAATGATATCTGTATGGGAAAAATATTGGCTCTTCGTCCTGGCCACGCTAAGTGAGATCAAAATTCGCAAATCCTACCCGACAAGCATCCCCGTCTCTTTTACGTGGGGTTCCCTCCCGGTGACGCTGCAAAAGAAATAGGCTCCTGGTTTGTAACTGGCCTAAGAAGTTTTTAGATTATGATATATTTTCTTATAAAGCTTTCTACACTGAAAACGTGCTCGACTGAACTCAAGAAAAGTTAATTTTGCTGTTTCCGATATTATGGTTCAAGACTCAATAATGCATAGTTTTTCGGCTCGTGTTAGCTATGCCGTGAATTTTTTGTAGCATAACTCACGATTTGATGGAAAATGCGCGACGCAAACAACGTCCCCAGGGTACTCATTGTGAGGCTTACCCTTGTATTACCTGGTGTAGTTGACTGTTCATTAGCAGTGACTAATAACAGTCCAGTGTGACGTCCCCAGGGTACCCATAGTGAGGCTTACCCTTGTATTACCTGGTGCAGCTGACTGTTTCTTAGCAGTGACTAATAACCGTCCAGTGTGACGTCCCCAGGGTACCCATAGTGAGGCTTACCCTTGTATTACCTGGTGCAGCTGACTGTTCCTTAGCAATGACTAATAACAGTCCAGTGTGACGTCCCCAGGGTACCCATAGTGAGGCTTACCCTTGTATTACCTGGTGTAGTTGACTGTTCATTAGCAGTGACTAATAACAGTCCAGTGTGACTTCCCCAGGGTACCCATGGTGAGTCTTACCCTTGTATTACCTGGTGCAGTTGACTGTTCCTTAGCAATGACTAATAACAGTCCAGTGTGACGTCCCCAGGGTACCCATAGTGAGGCTTACCCTTGTATTACCTTGTGCAGTTGACTGTTCCTTAGCAATGACTAATAACAGTCCAGTGTGACGTCCCCAGGGTACCCATAGTGAGGCTTACCCTTGTATTACCTGGTGTAGTTGACCGTTCATTAGCAGTGACTAATAACAGTTCAGTGTGTTTACTCCGATTGAACAATATACAGTTATGAATTCATAACACTACCATGTAAATTTATTGTATAAAATAGTCGCTTTCTGGATTCAGATGCAGGTTTTAAGTACTGAAATTTTTTTGCTATGAACTGTTCATTAGCAGTGACTAATGACAGTTCAGTGTGTTTACTCCGATTGTACAATATACAGTAATGAATTCATAATACTACCATGTACATTTATTCTATAAAATAGTCGCTATCTGGATTCAGATCCAGGATTTAAGTAAATTTTTTTCGTATGAACTGTTCATTAGCAGTAACTAATAACGGTTCAGTGTGTTAAGTGATATGACTCTGATCATAGATTTTGTTCGTAAAGGTGATTCACTGAAGCAATATACACGCTTCCAAGTGAAGAGCAAGCTTTCTTCTCACTTATAACAAAAATGTAATTTCTATGAACTAACAAACAAATCAGGAGTGACTATACGAAGAACATGAT